CGAGTGTGGGGGTGGCGGTTATGGGGGTGCCGGGTGTGTCCGCCGTCCCCTGCTCCTCCTCCTCCATCTCCCACTGCTGCAGCTGTCGCTGAGGGGAGTGGGTGTGTGGGAGCCGAAGGAGTAGTGCTAAGGGGGTGACGTGGGAGTGGAGCTAGGGGTGCAGCAAGGGGTGTGTGAAAGGGGGGTGGGACAGTTGGGGGAGGTTGAGCGGAGGCTGCCGTCTTGTCGTCCGCAGCACCTGTAGTCCGGGGCGCTGTCCTGGTAGCCCAGAGAGCCTGCTGCGCCTGTCGCCCGTGGGTCCGTTGCTCCTGCCGCTCAGAGTTAGCCGCAGAGCCAGTTACTCCAGTAGTCCGGGGCGCTGTCCCGGTAGACACTGTGCCAGCCGCTCCTGTTGCCCGTGTGTCTGCAGCTTCAGCCGTCGCCTCCTATCTCCTCTCCTCTCACTGTCCAGCCTCCTCCTCCTCATGTGCCCATTGTGAATGCCTCTAGCTTTGCTTGCACTTGTGAACCTGCTCTATGACTGCTTGCTCTGCTGATTATACCCCACTTTGACTATGGGGGTGTGTCAGAATGTAGTTTGTCTAGCCTGCAGTGGGGTACTCTGTAGTGAGTACGACCCCTTAGGGTTTCCTATATGTATCCACCTGCTTGCTAGTGAACATCCTCTTTTGCCTATTCTCTCTTGCCTAGCTAGGTAAACCCTAGCTATGGCTCCTCGTTCTACCTGCTATTCTGACAATATAGGCATTCCAGTCGTGCATGGTACCTCCACTACAGGCGCGCATACCGACCAAACTGACTAACGCATTACTTATGTTTGTAGAGATGCAGTTAGTACCATTTTCTTGCCAGTCCACTATATAAGGCCTTCTACTTTAACAACACTAGGTTCTAACCATTTGGATCCACATAATTTGGGAGATTTCCGGGTTCCAGCTTTGCCTTGTACCTGCACACAAGCGTGCATACTGGCCGAACCGACCAACGCATCATTTTCTCTGTAGAAATACAGTGAGAACCATATTTTGTTTCCCTTTTCCACTAAATTATACCATTAGTAACTCCCCTACCAGGTTCTAACCATTTAGATCTATGTAATTCGGCAGATATAAGCATTTTACTCGTGCAGGTACCTGCACTACAGGCGCGCATACCGACCAAACTGACCAGCGCAATTCTTATGCATGTAGAGATGCAGTTAGTACAATTTTCTTGTCAGTCCACTAGATTAGGCCTTCTACTTTAACAAAACTAGGTTCTAACTATTTGGATCCACATAATCTGGGAGATTTCAAAGTTACAGGTCCGCCTTGTACCTGCACACAAGCGTGCATACTGGCCGAACCGACCAACGCATCATTTTCTCTGTAGAAATACAGTGAGTACCATATTTTTTTTCCTTTTCCATTAAATTATACCATTTTTCACCCCCCTACCAGGTTCTAACCATTTAGATCTATGTAATTCGGCAGATATAGGGATTCCAGTCGTGCAGGTACCTGCACTACAGGCGCGCGTACCGACCAATTTGACCAGCGCATTACTTATGTTTGTAGAGATGCAGTTAGTGCTATTTTCTTGCCAGTCCACTAGATTAGGCCTTCTGCTTTAACAAAACTAGGTTCTAACCATTTGGATCCACATAATTTTAGAGATTTCAAAGTTACAGCTCCGCCTTGTACCTGCACGCAAGCGTGCATACTGACCGACACGACCAATGCATCATTTTTTCTGTAGTAATACAGTGAGTAATATAGCTTTTTCCTTTTCTACTAAATTTTATCATTTTCTACCCCCCCTACCAGGTTTTAATCATTTGGATTTATGTAATTCGGCAGATATACGCATTCCAATTGTGCATGGTACATGCACTACATGCGCGCACACCGACCAAAATTACCACTACATTACTTATGCTTGTCGAGATGCATGTAGTACCATTTTTTTGCTGGTCCACTAGATTATGCCTTCTACTTTAACAACACTAGGTTCTAACCATTTGGATCCACATAATTTGGGAGATTTCAGAGTTCCAACTCCGCCTTGTACCTGCACACAAGCGTGCATACTTTTATTTTTCTATTTTGGGGTGAATTGCCATGTCGGCGCCGACGTCGGCGGCCCAAATCACCCCACGAGTCATCCTCGTGCCTTCATCGCTGCCGATTCGGTCACCGCTTTCGACTTGGTCGTTGACAACGCCTTCGTTGTGCACAGGTCGGAGAGAGGCTGGCGCACCGTCTACCTTAGGCGGGTCGTTGGATGATCGCGTGCCCACTGCGCACGAGTTCCAAGGAGCAAAGCCTCCACGTCTTCTCGACCGTAATCGCCAGCTGCGTGGCGTACCCGAACGTAATCTAACCGCGCCTGCAGGGTATCCTCTATACCTGATATGACTCCCTGGTCGACCATGGCGGTCTAGACGACTGCCGGCCTACAACGACTTAGGTAAGTCAAAAGTCGGCTCCTATCTAAAGGTAAGTTGCGGGGTCGGTCCACGCTCACCGCACCATGCGGAGAGTCATTACCCAACGGGAGTGGACTACGGAGGAGGGCACGGGGTTGTGCGAGTGATCGTAGCATTGCACTAGCGTTCTTACTACTTGATGTGTTCACTGAGAAGTTTGGCAAAAGTTTCACTAACAAAAGAAAATGAACATTGAGTACAATAAGGCATGCAAGTCGGTATAGCTAGAATGGCATGCAACACCTAGCAGGCACTCCGCAGGGCGAAAATTGCCAGCGCAGCAGAAGAGTGGCTTGCCAACGCTGCAGCAGAGCGGTCTGCCAGCGTTGCACCGTGGCGGTCTGCTAGCACTGCAGTCGCAAGTGTCTATCGGCAGTCGCATGTGACTATCTGCACACATGTGTGCACCTACCAAGTAGGTGCAGGTCGTCGGTTTCGCCAGGTGCCCACCGTCGAGCACGTGATACCGTTCCGCAGGTCGAATTTCGCCAAAACCTCCTGGGCGAATTCCGCACACTTCCGCAGAGTTTCGCACCTCTACGAGTTCGGTCGACCAGCTCGACGCCACTCGGTCGAACAGCGTTCGCCGAGCAGAGCTCGTCGACTACAGTTCATCGACAAGAGCTCTTCACATAGAGCTCTCGACGGGCTCGTCGACCACTGTCGTCGACCAGCGCTCCTCGACGGGCTTCGTCGACCAACGTCATTGATTACCGATGCCCGTCGACATCGTCGACCGGATTCCGTCGAGCAGAGCCTGCTCGACCACAACTTCCGTCGACCAGCGAGAATCTTTTCGACGTTCACTCCGTCGAGTTCCCCTCGTCGACGGCGAGATCGGATGCGCCCAAGCGAGGGCGTGGCCTTTCTCTTCGACAGCTGCTGCAACGCTGGCAAGCCGACTTGCTACGTTGGCCGTCGCCGTGGTGCAGCGCTGGCAGGCCGCCGACTTGCTACGTTGGCAAGTCGTCACTTTACAGTGCTGGAGCGCGGTCGACTTTGCAGTGCTGGCAGGTCGCCGACTTTTTTCTGAACTTTTCTTTAGTGAAACTCTTGCAAATTCTCCTTCTGGATGAGCAAGTAGATAGAACGCTAATGAACGCTGCGATCACTCACACAACCGTGCCTTCCCCTTGGTCTAGCTCCCACCGTTGTAGAGTTACTTTCCGCAGTTGTTCAGCCGTTAGATTTGTCTGACCTCCCGATCCTCCGGCCATCTTAACGTGAGAGCATATGCCGGTCGACACCTTCAATTCGTGGAAACTAGGTCTATATATGATTACATGAAACTGAGAAGGGTCCAAGCTGACCGTATACTATCAAGGGTGCATTCCCTTATTACATTTATATCGCAACCGTCTGGCACGGGAAGGGAACCCGTCTCAAAACATGTTCCCTTGAATTCCCTTTCAAATATTTCTGCCAGCATCGGTGTTGATTGTAATCATATTCGACTCTCCGGTTCGTCCCGACTCTTGGTTTCCGTACTCGGTAGTGCCTTTTCCTGTTATGTACAAGAATGCATGATGCAATTCCTTATCGTAACAGAACGGTTGAGGCCTGGTGTATAGTGTTGTAAGCGTAGAAGTTAGGTGTGAGGTTAGAATTTTAAAATTCCTTAAAGCCCGTATCCCAAATTGCGGGCCGCGCGGGTCAAGTTTTTAAAACTTGACGAAGAGGAGTGTGCAAGTTTTGAAAGTAGCGCACCTGCAATTTGGGACTTTCGAAGTGTGACCCCACCCACCAGGGGGGGATCCGGGGGCTGGCTGGGTTTGGCGAAAAATACGAATTTGATGAAATCTGAAACACTCGCCCAACCCCAAACCAGAAAAGCTCCCTCTCGTCAACTTTTTAAAGGATGAACAATTTGGGCTGCCGGCTTTAAAGGCCTTCTGACTGTAGAGTGGAAGTGTTATAATAATTCCTGACACTAGCAAAACAAGTGTGATTCTAACTGCCGGATAATTTCCCATGTGATAACTTCTCGACAAGCTGTCAAGTTAGATTGCGCTTTGCTTGTTCTGTAGACGCGCCATTCGCTAGCTGGAGCACACGTCACCTTTAGGGTGACAACGCAGCACGCAAATTCCGCGTTCTGGAGACGGCCTGATTGTCTGAGCCACGTGGCGAACTAGTTCCTGCTTTGGCTCAGGCGTTGCTGCTGGCTCTAAGTCCCAGATTTTTCTTGATTAGTCTTCGTCATCCATTCAGGTTTGAGGAGGAATTTTCACAATAACCAGCCATGGCTGCCACTGCTGCTTCCTCCGCCTGCTTGGCTGTTTCAGCTTCTAGCTTGATCGATTCCAGCAAAAAGCAGACGCGTCGCCATGAAAGCGTTTCTTTCACGCGTTCAGGCTCCTTCCAGAGGGTCTTTCAAGCGACCTCTCGCGTCGCAGGCTCCAGATGCGCCGTTAACAAGGCGAGTATCGTAGCTGCTGTTGGAATTGAGAAGGAAGTTGCCTTGGATGAAATTCCTCTCACGTTGTTGAAGGAAGGGGAGGTTCGCGATTGGAAAAAACCCGATCCATCTAACATGCGCGCTCGCTTCGAGAACCTGGTGCTCAACGCCCAAGACTCCATTATCAAGGCCATTGAGGAAGTCGACGGAAAGAAGTTTCGCAAGGATGCATGGATGAGGTAAGTAACTTGAAAGGAGCAAGGCGTCCATTTTATCCTTAATGCCCTTTTTTAATAGAAGTGGACATTTGCTTCAGGCCTGGTGGTGGTGGCGGGATTAGCGGCGTTCTTCAGAACGGCAATGTGTGGGAGAAGGCGGGTGTCAACGTGTCTGTCGTTTACGGCACTATGCCCCGTGAGGCTTACCGTGCTGCCACGGGCGAGTCTGCTCCATCTGATGCCAGCTCCACTGGCGACGGACGGATTCCTTTCTTTGCTTGCGGGATAAGTTCTGTAAGAAACGCTGCTGTTCTGTTCCGGTTTGATTCTTTCCGGTCTTTCTTCGTCGACGTTTTATGTGGGTACTTACTCACTTGCTCCTTTTCTTGTGCAGGTCATGCATCCTTGGAATCCATTCGCTCCTACTATGCACTTTAACTATCGCTATTTCGAGACTGACGCGCCTGCCGGTGCGTCTAGGGATTATTTGAACGTTTGAGTAGATGCTTCGTTTTGCTCGAATTAACCGTAACGTTCCTACAATGCAGGAGTGAAGGATGCTCCACGGGCGTGGTGGTTTGGTGGTGGCACGGATATCACTCCCTCGTACCTCTTTGAAGAGGATATGAAGCACTTCCACGGGGTAAATTACCTCTCCCTGTTCGTCATGATTCTTATCGTCCGTCCAATATTATGTTATTGGTATCTAACTTGTATTCTCTGGTTCCTGAGCAGCTGCAAAAGGAGGCATGCGACAAAATTGACACTTCCTTTCATCCGCAATTTAAGAAGGCCTGCGATGACTATTTTCTTATTAAGGTAACCTCATTACGTATTTTATCCGTTCTGTCTTGTTTTGCTGTTCCTTGTAGCGAAACACCAAGGCTGACTTTACACACAACAACTGAACCTGTCAAGAATCTGTGATTGACTAGATGCGTGACTTCAAAAAGTCACGATTGCGATGTCGGATTTGCTCAGTATTCTCTGAGCAACAGTTTTGGCGAAATTTAGTTGTCACTTGCACTAAAGTTTCTAACCCGTTTGTCGACATGTCGATCCCCTTCCTCTCCCTCCCCCCTCCCGCTTCTCCCCGCCATTCACCCTTCCCTCTTCCCTCCCCTCTTTTCCCAAATCTCTTCCCTCCCCCTCGCCACCCTCCCTCCCCACACTCGTTTCTTTCCTTTCCTATCGCCCCCCTCTCCCACTCTCTCTCATCCCTTTTCGCCTCGCACTCGCCCGCGCTCTCATCCACTTCTCATTCCTACCTCCCTTTCTCTTTCCATCTCCAACCTTACTCCGCCTTCTCTCATGCCTTCCTCTCGCTCAGCCTCTTTCGCCCTTGTGGATGTGTTTATTTTCGATTGACGAAATTGTCCTATGCCTCATCTTTCACATGCAGCACCGTGGTGAACGACGAGGATGTGGAGGGATTTTTTACGATGACATGAACCAGCATGACCCCAATCTGCTCTTCAACCTCGCGAAAGGTAAGTGTCCTCTTGAAGGGTAAACATGCAACCGGACTTGCACTCTCAAATGGGAACGGTGACTTGTTTTTTTGCAGAGTGCTCCGCTGCAGTGGTGCCTGCATACGTCCCACTTGTGGTCAAGCGCAAAGATACTCCATACACGGAGGAGCAGAAACAGTGGCAGCAGCTCCGCCGTGGCCGTTATGTCGAGTTCAATCTGGTAAGACTGAGCACCAGCCGGGGACACAGCTGTTGAGAAATGTTATGCCTGTAAGCTTCACCTTCCTGATCTCGTCTCATGGCTCAGGTCTATGACCGTGGCACAACATTTGGCCTTAAGACGGGTGGCCGCATTGAGAGCATCCTTATGAGCTTGCCCCTTACGGCAAGATGGGAATACAACCAGGTATGCAGCTAGAATCGGCATGTTTACATGCAGTAATTGACAGTACTAATGATGTCCTTTTTGCCGTTACAGGAGCCTGCTGCTGGCACTCCAGAGGCGGAGCTTTTGGATGCCTGCAGGAACCCAAGGGAGTGGGTTTGAGTGGTACCTACCTGTTGCTGCAGCAGCAGAGGCCTGAATTGTACTCAGGAATGATCGTTGCAGAAATAACTAATACCACAGTAAAACACCTGTCCGCTGATGAGCAACAAGTACCAAACGCTATAACGCCCGTCACCCTAGAAGTGGTTAAAAACATAGTTTCTTGTGCCAATCCATGTAAACCCTAGACCCACACTGAAATTCCCCTAAATCCAAAATCCCTCGCATGAACACGCTCTAAGCTGGAATCCTCATCTGAAATGCCCTTGAAGGAATTACCATCTGCACTCCCGCAATTGCAATACCGTCGTATAAAAGATGTGATATCAAAGAGGTAGAAGGTCAACAGTATATCTCAAGCTGTCAGATTGTTAAAGCCCGCATACAAAATAGTGACCCCCGTCCCAACTTGAAAGAGGTGTTGCGACAATATTTTTTAAAGCTAAGAGAGAATGAAACAAGTCTGACAAAACGTGCGGGCAGAGTGAGCTCATGTGATTGGCTCTCGCCAAAATGGGATGCTGTGGCTCCCGCCAGAATGGACTTTCCCGCTCACATTTCTGCGACCAGCACTTGCACGACCGTTCCCTGGCGATGGTTTCCATCGCAAGGCCAAGGCCAACTTCAATATCAAGCTGGTCCTGGGTTCATAACTCCCTGATTTCTACTCCCTTACTCGCTAGTTTTTTTCCACACGCATAGTATAGCGGAAAGCATATGTGCTTGTGTCATAGGCACAGAATTATTGACGACTGCGTTTATTCGCACGAGTGCGTGATTTAGTATTACGTAGCCTAGTAGCACAGTGCTATTTTTCCCGCCAGTAGCACAATCGTCAACCGCCGCGTCGCCGTCAGCCCATGTCGCCTTTCCCTCGCCATTACCTTCGCCCCCCCTTTACCCGTCGCACTTCGCGTACCCTCCCCGTTTCCCCTCCCATCACCCACTTCGTTACATTCTCGCTCGCCCTGAAACGCCCTCTCGTCGCCCTTGCTTTCTCCCCTCCCGTCACCCCCACCTCGTTGCCTATGCGCTCGCCTCGAAATCGAGGCGCAATCTCGTCGCCTACCACGTCTCCCCTCCTTTACCCGTCGCACTTCGCGTACCCTCCCCGTTTCCCCTCCCATCACCCACTTCGTTACATTCTCGCTCTCCCTGAAACGCCCTCTCGTCGCCCTTGCTTTCTCCCCTCCCGTCACCCACCTCGTCGCCTATGCGCTCGCCTCGAAATCGAGGCGCAATCTCGTCGCCTACCACGTCTCCCCTCCTATTACCCACATCATCGTCGTCACCCTAAGCCCGCAATGCCCTCTCGTTGCGCGCAGTCGACTCTCCTCGCCCATCGCCCTGGCGCTGGCCTTGAAACGCTCTCGCGGCTTCCTTCTTCACTCCCCTCTCATTACCCACTTCGTCGCCTTTGCGCTCGCTCTGAGCCGCCCTCCCGTTGCCTATCATCTCTCCACTCCCATCCCGTCGCCCTCGTGTTCCCCTCTCATCTCGCCCTCGAAACGGGCTCTCGTCCATGTTTCCGTCGCCCTCTCTCCCCTCTTCCCTCACGTTGTTTCTCTCTGTTTTTTCCCTGGTTTTCTCAGCGTTTTTGCCGCCCTCTCTCAGGCCCAAAGTCTTCATACGCAACGTCAATTTATCCTAACCTCTCTCGCTCTTTGCAGAACCTTCTCCCCTTCCCGTCACCATCGAGCTCACGTTCTCCCCTTCCCGTCACCATCGAGCTCACGTTCTCCCCTTCCCCCGCCATCGCGCTCACGTTCTCCCCTTCCCCCACCATCGCGCTCACGTTCTCCCCTTCCCCCGCCATCGCGCTCACGTTCTCCCCTTCCCCCGCCATCGCGCTCACGTTCTCCCCTTCCCCCGCCATCGAGCTCACGTTCTCCCCTTCCCCCACCATCGCGCTCATCTTCTCCCATCTTCGCACCACCTTCGCGCTCATGGTCTCCCCTTCTATCACCTTCGAGTTCAGATACTCCCCTACCTTCTCCCAAGCACCACACGTTCTCCCCTCCCCTCGCCATCGCGCTCAAGTTCTCCCATCTTCGCATCGCCTTCGCAAGCAGATTCTCCCCTCCCATCTCCCTCGTTCTCACGTTCTCGTCTCTCATCGCCTTCGCGCTCGCACCTCCCGTCCCTTCCTGTTGCCCTCGTGTTCTCCCGTCCCGTCCCGTCGCCTTCGCGCTCGCACCTCCCGTCCCTTACCGTCGCCCTCATGCCCTCCCCTCCCCAATGCCCCTCCCATCACCCAACCAGTAACCTTTGCCCCCTTATTCTCTCCCCTCGCGTCCGTGTTTCCGTCGGCCTCTCACTCTCCTCTTCCGACTCCTTGACTCACTTTGTTTATCACCTTCTCCTGTTTGTTTTTCTCTGCATAATTCACACCCCCTAAACCCATTGCTACAGCTCTCGCTTTTTGCTGAAGGCTCAGGCGCTGCCGATGCAAGGGTTTGTCTCTGGATGCGGAATTCCTTCGACGTAGAATTGGGAATTTGAATGTGGAACAAATGTGAATGTGGCACGAATGTGAATGTGCCACGAATGTGATATTGGCACCCCTTACGACAGATTTGCCCAACCCTGCGACCAGATTCCTCGATCAAAATCGGAAAGATGGTTAGTATCAGGAAAAAAAGAAAAACTGCAACACATTACACCCTACAAACAAAACCTGTGAATCAGTATATCAAGTGGACCCAACTAGAAGGGGGGGGTCACTATTTTGCATGCGGGCTTTAACTAACCTAGGAGATAACATCCGCATATGGTAACTGTGAGATATGACAAGAATGTTGGGCTGAGAAAAAGTTATGTGTTGCCATGCCTTTTGTTGTTGTAGGAGTTTGAATGAAGTTGGATCTTGCCTTGTTAGCTCTAATACCATGTTGGGCTGAGAAAAAACCCTTATATCCGTTTCAAGGCTAAGGGCGTGTTCCTACAACCTCATATCAGGAAACCTCGTATCAAGGATGTACTTTTTGCCTGGTAAAAATAGCGAGAGGTTTGGGGTTTAGGGGAAATTTCAGTGTGAGCCTGATACGAGGTTCTTTTGATACGAGGTGTAGGAACACGCTGTAATACCCTGAGTAGAGATGATGTAATTGTGGAAGCGTTCTTAGTGAACTGTTGAACCACCTTGCACTAGTGTGTGAGAGCAAGAGATTGATTATAACAAAGTAATACAAAGTTTTTTATAAGATTACAGAGAATACGAAGAGATGCATTTTAACTGTTTTGTTGATGTTGCGGTTCGATACAGCGAGACTCGGGCAACTGCTCAATACCGAGTCAGTTGTGTGTCCTTGCTGTCGCGCTGCTTTTCGTCAAGTCAAAGGTCGCTGACCATTGACCTTCGCGTAACCTCCAGCTGTTACGTTTTGTCAACCTCCTCGGTTGACTCGCCGTTGCTTCGCTGTAGTTTGCCTCGTTTACAGTTCGATGTTCCGACACAACAAAAGCGTTTAAATTACTTGTTTCCAACACTCCCCTTCGCTTCTGGAGTGTCATTGCTGGTGACGTGGCCTTGTCCAGTCAGGAGCATGCAGTACTCGAACTTCTGCTTTCCGAGTTTCTTGGTTAAGTAATCGGCTGCCATTTCGGATGTGGGGCAGTAGGATAGCTCGAGTCTCCCCTTCTCGATCTCGTCCTTCACGAAGAAGTATCGAAGGGCGATGTGCTTCGTTCGATTCGCGAACCCGTTCTTGTTTGCTATGCGGATTGCTGATTGGTTGTCGCAGAACAGGGAGAAGCTGGGTAACTGAGCCAGCTTCGCTCCTTCCAGTAGTTCGCGAAGGTATAGTCCTTCCTTGGTGGCTGAGCAAAGTGCGATATATTCTGCTTCAGCTGAGGAGAGAGAAATTAGCTCTTGCTTGCTCGACTGCCACGAGATTGGGCCGATAGGCTCGAGTCGGTAGATGTAGCCGGTGCGCGATCGCCTGTTCTCGGACTCGCCGGCGTGGTCAGCATCCACGTAGCCGATTAGCTTGGGCGTTGTAGTTCCGGTTTTGTGGTAGGTTAGGCCGATTGTTGGAGTGCTGACGAGATAGTGAAATGCGCGGTCGAGTTCTGCCATATGATCCGCTTCAGGCTTCTTGAGGTAGGTGGCAAGTTGGCTCGCTGAGTATGATAGGTCCGGTCGACAGGTGACGGCTGCGAAGAGTAGGCATCCCAGCTTTCGCCGGTAGTCACGAATGCCAGCGAATTTAAGTAGAGCGGAGGTTTCTTTGCGATTTCCGTCGGTGTAGCGGTATGGTGTGGTGATGGCGGCTGGGGTTATTCCGAAGCGCTTGGCGATGGTGTCGGCGTATTTTGCGGCGCTGAGGTAGATCGCGTTCTCCCCGTCTTGTATGTTGAGTCCCAGGTACTGCGTGACTGTTGAGGAGACGGTGAGTGTGAGGTCCCGATGCAGTTCCCCTTCAAACCAGGTCGTGATGTTGTCGGTTGAGCCGATGTAGAGTAAATCGTCCACATAGACGATACGTAGGATGTAGTCGGTGCCTTTTGTGAGTCGATACATTCCTTGGTCATGCGGCAGTTGGTGAAATCCGATGCGGATTAATCGGGTGTGCAGATACTGCTGCCACAGCCTTGGAGCTTGCTTGATGCCGTACAGGGATTTAAGCAGTTGACAGACTTGGTTGGGGTCTGTGTTAGACCCGTGCGGTTGCTCGACGAAGATCTCGGCATCGACGGGAGCGTAGAGAAAGGCGTTGGCGACGTCGATTTGGCGGAGCTTCTTCCGCTTCATGGCGGCTATCGCGAGGAGAATTCGGAGAGAGGTATGCCGGCTAACCGGTGCGAAGGTTTCGGTGAAGTCTCGTCCATGCTCTTGGTCGAAGCCGCGTACGACCCAGCGCGCCTTAAATTTGTTGATCGTTCCGTTAGCTTTTGTCTTCACGCGGAAGACCCATTTTCCCGTGAGGACGGTTTTGTTGCGTGCCACTCCGATAGGCAATATCTTCCAGGTGTTTCTGTCTTTTAGCGCCTTCAATTCTCTGTACATGACTTCGCGCCATTTTTCCATGTTTCTTCCCCCAGAGCCTGCTGAACTGTGGCAGGCTCCTTTGGTAGCTCTGCTCCGTGGACGGCGGTGACGAGTCCCAGTATCTGCAGCCCACTCTGTGTCTAGCGAGGGAGATTTGCGTCCTCGGGAAAAACGGCTTCGTCTCCCGCTTTTGGATCGGGTAAGAAATTGGGTCCTATGCGTTCGGAGACGTCGGTGTTGACTGGCTGGGGTGTAACGTAACCGTTGTCGGCGAAGTCGTAGTAGACTTCGGAGTTGATGCTTTCGTGAGGGTTGTCGTCGTCCATTGGGATATCGACCGAACAGTAAGGAAGATGTCCGGCTTCTTCCGATGCTCCATTGACGTTCTGCTCGTCCCAGTCAGCCTCATCTGCTGCCGAAGCGAAGGCTCGGTCACCATGAAATCCGCCTGTGATGTCTCGTTCTGCTTCCAGGTTGTCCAGGTACGTTTGAAGGGTGAGTCGTTCGTAGAAAATCACATCACGTGCTGCCACTGTTTCCTTCGTGTGGACGTCAAATTTTTTCCATGCGTTGTAGTGTTTTTTGATGCCCAGGTGTAGTCTCCACTGTGCGCGTTGGGAGAATCGGCCGGCTCGTGCAGTTGGGGGTCGGTACTGTACCATGCAGCCGAATACTCGTAACATTTTTGTGCTGCCCAACTTTCCTGTCCACAGCAGATGCGGTGATGCATTGTTCGGGAGCGATGATGACGAGAGCAAGTTGTGCAACATTACAGCGTGGTCAATCGCCTCGGGCCACTGGTGGTTGGGTAGCCGCATGCCACGTAGCAGCTTGCGCATGGTGTTCTGGAGGGTCCTGTTCATCCTTTCTGCCACGCCTTGCTGTTGATGGGCGTAGGGAAGGGAGATGAGTCGCTTGATGCCTCTCTCTGCCAGGTACTGCTTGAACCTCTGTGACTGATATTCCTCTCCCCCGTCTGACTGGAAGCTTTTCAGCTTTACTCCGGATTCCCGTTCTGCTACTGGAAGCCAGGCGACGAAGGCTTCGAATGCCATGTCGCGGCTCGGAAGGTTGAGATGCCAAACGTATCGGATGGCGGCGTCGATGAACGTGATGACGTAGTTGTACGCCCCCTGTCCACTTTCACGGGCATACAGTATGTCGCTGTAGAATTTTCCAGTGATGCGTATGCTGGTGCGCTCGGGTTGTGGTGCGAGACGAACGGCTGATGAGGTAAGTCGGCTTCAGGGCAGGTAAAGCATGTTCCGCGGACTCGTTGAAGTTCTTTGCCGTCGTGTAGAAGTAGTGAGTCTTTGTCAAGTACTCCTGCTCTTATCGTATTGTTTAACGTTGTGTTGCTCGGGTGTCCCATCCTTGCATGCCAGATTGATTCACTGGCGCGATGTCCAGGTGACCGCCTGTTGTCAAACATTGTATATGTTTGTGTTTTGTAGGCTGTAGTGGGTTTAGCCTTAGGGGGTACAATCTCTAGGGTTTTATACTTGTACTCCCAACTTTCCTAGTGCAATCACTTCACTGATTCTGACATGGTATTACGAGCCTAGGGTTAGGAACCTAGGACCGTTCTTAGGGCCCACCGTTTCCGCTCGAAGCGCCCTCGTGCGCCGTCCTTTCCTAGCGCCCTCGTGCGCCTAGCTCCTAGTGCGCCCTCGAGCGCCTCCTCTCCTCTTACGCTGCCCGTGCGCAGCCGCTAGCAAACCGCGCGCGCGGCCCGTTTTCCCGTCGCGTAGCCCGCTAGCCGCCCGTGCGCGGCCCGTTTCCTGAGCGCGTAGCCCGCTAGCCGCTCGCGCCGTCGTCGCCGCCCACGCGCAACCCACTAGCCGCCCGTCGACCGCCGCTGCGTCCCCTTAGGCCGCCGCCGCGACACCTAGTGCGGCCCGCTAGCCGCCCGTCGACCGCCGCCGCGTCCCCTTCGGCCGCCGCCAGCACGAACGCAGCCGCGGCCCGCGCACAGCCGCACCTTAGGCGCCGCCGCGCACCGAGCATAGGCCCGCCGTCGCGCCGCCCTGCCTGCCCGAGTCGCGCCGCCCGAGTCGCGCCGCCCGAGTCGCGCCGCCCGAGTCGCGCCGCCCGAGTCGCGCCGCCCGAGTCGCGCCGCCCTGATCGAGCCACGCCGCCCCACCTGTAGCAACTGCTGTTCCTGTTCCTGCTACAGCCACTACTGCTACTACTGCTACTGCTACTGCTACTGCTGCTACTACTACTGCTGCTACTGCCACTATGGCTAGTCCTACCGTTCTCACCTTTGAATCTGAGGGCCGCCCGATTAAGTTTGACGTTTGGCTCGATGACCTGCACCTGTTCCTCCAGATCACTGCCAAGGACGAT